GCCGAAAACCGTATATTCCCTTCCTGTTCTCCTGTTCATTCGTGCATTCTTTCCAAAAATCTGGACTTTTTTAAAACGCTGCGGGACTCAGGACAAATTGTTAAAAAGTGGGACTGTCCCGCCAAAAGCGGGATGTCTGGTCACCCTATTGTAGTTGTCCTTGTTGTTTGGCTGCCCTGGGCTGGATTCGAACCCACCAGCTCCGGTGTATGTGGCTGGCACCCTAGCCGTTGAGCCAAGCCACAGCGACACTTAAATGAAGTCACTCAAGCTGAGGTGGCTGGCTTGTACCTACCTGACCTTCTTATCCTGAAGTGTAATAGGTTTGGGGTCAGGGACATGTATATTGATTTAAATAAAGGACAAAATGCCTCAACATCAATGATGACACTACATCATCATCTGGAACATGAGGCCCAGTGAGGAGCTGTAAAGTAGTAAAGGAGGGGTGGTGTTCTCTACTAAAGCAAGCGCTGGTGATCATCTTTGAATTCTATAATGAAATTCGGTAATTACATAAACTCCTAGAATATTCAAGCTGGAAAGGCCTCAGAGGTCACCTTTTCCAACTCCTTTACAAATCAACAATGTGAGACTCAGAGAGATAGCAATTGACTCCTCCAGGGTCTGGGTCTGGGTCTTCTCCAAGTTTCGGTCTAGAACTCTGCTTTAATCATGTCTAGGCTACTGAAAAAGAGAGTGAGACCCTGGATTTCGGCCGTGCATGTGTGTGTGTGTGTGTATGTACACTGCCCAGTTCCCAGCTGGGCCAGAAGTACACAGCTGGACTAAGGAACAGAATCTTACCATCTGGTTTCTGTGACTTCCTGCCCCTGATCTCAGGACCCAGAGTAAGTCCTGAGACAGGGATTATCCTGGCAGTCAGCATCCAACTGATTGGGTTAATACAAACCCTCTCTACTCCTTTTCCTATCCTTCCTCCTCGATTCCTCCTCGATTTTTGCCATTCCTTGACACTAACTGACAACCATTTCCTCTCTTCTCTCCTGGGCTCTCTCTAGCCTGAAGCATGCAACCCTTTAACTCACATGACCCTGTTATGGTACTCAGCACACTCTGGGCTGTAAAATCATGATGAGTGCATCTGTCTCTCCCACTGGCAGTGTGCTCCTTCAGACTCCCCACTCTGCCACAGGCCAGCTGAGACTCAGAGTCATGGCTTAGCAAGTTGGATGAAGAAAGAACAAAAGGAATGGCCAGGTGTGTAAGCAAAGTTCTTGTCTCTCTGCCTGAATGGTTCATGGTCATGCTCAGAGACAGCCTGCTTCCTCTTAGCTATAGCATGTGATGGTTAAGTGCATGCACTCTGCAGTCAGACGAGCTGGGTTCATCTCTCACCTCTGGGCAGGTGACTTGCCTTCCTTGTGCCTCAGTTTCCCCACCTGTAAAATGGGGCTAAAAATAGTTCAGGGCAACTGTGGAGATCAGGTATGTGGAGCATAAGGAATCTAGTCAGGCTTGTCAGACAGAGCAGTCATTGTTGGCCTGGTCTTAGTAGAGTGGTCACTGTCCTGGTAGTTGTTCCTGGTGACAAGGGCAGCACAAGCCATCTCCACCTTGCTGGTCCAGTGCTCCCTTCTGAAGTGCCTGTTGACTCCCTCCCACTGGCTGAGAACACCCTCCAACCCCTCCTCAGCCTCTCTCTCTTTTTCTTCCCCCATTTTGGCTTTGAGGACCCTCTGCCCCTCACTTACATCCCTGCACCTACCCTCTTTCTGGTCCTTCACCTCGTCCACACTTACCCCCATCCAGCCCACA